CAAATATATAAATAAAATAAAGAACTCTTGCCATTTGCAACAGCATGGGTGGACCTGGAGAGCATTATGCTAAGTGAAATAAGCCAGTCAGAGAAAAGATAAGTATCACATGATCTCACTCATTTGTGGACTATAATGAACAACATAAACTGATGAACAAAAATTGATCCCGAGACACAGAAGTATCGAACAGACCATCAAACCTCAGAGAGAAGGCTGGAGAGGGTGGGCAAGGGGAGATAGGGATAAGAGATCAACCAAAGAACTTGTGTGCATATAAGCATAACTAATGGACAGAGACAATAGGGAGGATGAAGACCTGGGCTGGGGGGCGGGGGCAGGCTGGGAGAGGACAATGGGAGAAAAAGAGGGACATATGTAATACTTTCAAAAAGAATTTTAAAATAAATAAATACATAAATAAATAAAGTATTGTCTTACTCTCTTTCTTTTGATGGCAAGGTACTAGTAGATACTTAAAAAGAGTTGTCGAAGAAAGTTTAATGAAAGGATTTTTACAAATATGTATTAAGGGAACCTGCAAAGGATAATGATTCCCCTTGGTTGTCAATCTTAGAGAAGGAGAATTTCCGGGGAAAGCGGTGGCTGAAGGGAAGAGCTGCCCTTCTTTTGTAGAAAAGAAGCAGTGTCACCACGTGTGACTTTCTTCTGTATAGTACCAACATCATAGCCCCTGTGCCACTCAAAAAAGTATGTTCTGGAGTCAAGGTTTTAAGGGTTCTCCTTTCTTCCTTTCTACAAATTATTGAAAAGTCTTATACATTTTAGATTGTATATTTGAATTCTGGCTTTCTTGTATAGCTTTTTGTTTTTCTAGCATTTTGGATTGTTTTGAATTTGTCTTATAGAGAATAAATAGCTTTTTTATGCATAATTATAAATGAATTCCAGCTTCTTACTTATGCTAGATATTACATATAAGTTACTCTTGAAGAACATTGACTTTTCCTTTTAATTTGGATGATTGCTTTCTAGGCCTGCTGAAAATTCTGAGATTTCCTTTTTAAAAAATGATTTTAAGAAGTGTAAGTAATTGTATTACTAGGTTGGTTATATCTTTTCTTTTATCCCACATTGTCTTTCTCTTAGCTTTTCACCTTTGTTTAGCTGAATAATATCACTAAGTAATACACACACACACACACACACACACACACACACACACACAAAGGATAGAAGAAAGCATTTTTTTTCTGCTTAATTCTAGAATGGCTTATCTGATTAATGTGGACTGAACCTTTATATTTCTTGCTGCTGAGGAAAGATGGGATACCAACCTTCAGATACAGATTAGCTCATCTTTAGATGTAAGGTGTTCTGAAAATCATGTATTTAATCACCTTGAGGTAGGATAAACTCTTGACTGTCATGTGTATTACTGCTCATATGCTGTTGGTTTTTACCATTTGGCCTATGCAGAAAACACTTCATGCAGGATAACAAAGAGATATGAGGTACTGGTGGTGCAGATGAGTCAGCAGCAATGATGAGAAGTAAGAACTGCCTGTACCTTATCTTCCCCATTTATCTGCCACGTGAACCAGACTTTAGGCAAAACATTGAATCCCACATAGAGAGCTAGGGGAGATATAAAACAGCATTGGCAAAGAGTCCTTGATAGGAAGGACCTCATGCCCTACAAAGCACATGCCACAAATGTATTAAAAAAAAAAAAAAGACTGTGTGTGTAATGTTAGAATGATGATGTCAAGAGCGAATGACCTAAATGACTCTGCTTCATTTTATTATCATTCACTGAGCCAAAAACAATAGACAAAAACAGCCGTTGACATACATCCACCTGAACAGTACTTTGAAGACATAACTGTCCTAAGACATAACTGAGAGGACATGAGACTGTGAGAGCAATGACTCTCCAAGTCTTCCAAGGTTTTGAATTCCACACTCTCCTGTTTTAGCAGCCTTGAGTTTTTTTATTACTTCTTGTCTCTTCAGGATCTTTAACTTATTGGTCTCTTCTGCAACCTTCTATTCCATATAACCATACCTGCTTTTCTTTTTAAAAAAATAAGGAATGAAAGCAAAAAAAGAAAAAAAATGGAGAAAAGAAAATTTAATTTTTAAAAATTGATTTCAGAGAGAAAGGAAAGGGAAAGAGAGACAGAAACATCAATGATAAGAAAGAATCATTGAGCCATCAGCTGCCTCCTGTATGCCCCCTGATGGGGATTGAGCCCGCAACCCAGGCATGTGCCCTGACCGGGAATTGAACCATGACCTCCTGGTTCATCAGTTGATGCTCAGCCTCTGAGCCACACTGGCTGGGCAAGAAAAATATTTTAAATCCACTTCCTTTTCTGGAGACTCCACTTCACCACAAAGAAATTAGTTACATTTCCAACAGTTTCCTCACAGGCCACCAATTTCTCAACATATTCCTATCTGACTTTTTCTCTTACCAAACTATGAAATTATTTTCATAAAGATTACTACTAATTTTTTGCCAAAAGATTCAATAAATATTTTGATCCTCTTCTTGAATCAGCAGCCAAAATGATGACTGATCCCTTCCTTAAACATACTTATCCTTTGGCTTACATGATTCTATGCACTCCTGATATTCCTCTTTTGTTTGTGGCTGCTACTTCATTGTCTTCTTTGTTGGCTCATCCTCTTCTATGCTGCCTTTAAGTTCATCAAGGCTCAGTTGTAGGCTCGCTGGAGCCTAGACTACCTCCTTAGACAATCTCGAACACACCCAGAGCTTAAATCCCATATATCTTCAGTGTGCATCTATTCTGGGCCTCTCTCTTTTGAGCTCTGGATGAGGAGAGCTATGTGAAATTTTTGTTTGCATGTATCAGAGGCACTTTCAACTCAAACATCCTAAGATGAAAAATGATCTATCCCCCCAAGTTAGCTCATCTGTGATGTTTTTTATTTCAGTAAATATATCAGCACCAAAATCTACTCAACTGAGCAAGCCTGAAGCTTGGGAGTTGTCCTTGCCACCCACCACTTGCTCATCTTCCATCTATAAGTCATTACAAAGATTTGTTCATGTTACCTTTTGAATATCCCTTGAATCAATTTCTTTAATCTCCTCTCTTATTGCCATAGTCCAATCTACCACCAACTCTCACCTGAATCACTATAATAACCTTTTAACGGGCCACTTCATATCCTCCATTCAATTTTCTACTCTGTTGGCAAATTGATTTTTGTTTAATTTAACCTAAATATGATCATGTAATTTCCCAGCTTAAAAACCTGTCAATAGACTCCAATTGTGTTAAAGATAAGACCAAAATATACATCTTGTATACAATGTAAACCCTGCCCCTCTTTTCCACCTCATTTCTCAATACTCTCCCTCATAGGGAAATGTGCCATGTTCAGTACTGCCTCAAGCATTTGCATAAAGTCTTCTTTCTCCTCCAAACAATCTTTTCTTCTCCCCAAGTTTACTTAGTTAACTCCTATTCCTACTGCAAATTTTAACTCAAACATTACTTTCTCAGGGAAGCATTCTTAGAACTACCATTCCAGGTTAAGCTCACCTTTTAAGCATTATGGAAGCTTCATATCTTTCTTTCACATCACTTTCCATGGTTCATAATCCAATATTTGATCAATTTCTGTCTCCTAGCTAGACTGTATACTCCATGAGAGCAGAAAGAGCATGAGTTTTCCCATCACCATTGTAGCCCCAGAACCTAGAATAGCAATTGGCGCAAAGTAGTTGCTGAATAAATAAACATGTCAGTAATAGTGCTTTACTGTGCAAGGCAGGCAATAAGAAGTAAATAAAGGTATTAATTCTATGCCTCAGGTAATAAACATAAAAAGACTCAGAGAAGAAAAACATAATATGAATAAAATTTCCAGTGACATATTTATGAACCTTTTAGGAACTGAACCAAAAGGTGGTTGGGAGAGGATATATAACTCTACACTATGTCTTTTGCAGTGCTGTCAGATTTAATCTGAAAAGAAAAACACCTCCCAATAATCAATTCTATAAGAAAACTTTAAAAAAGGACCAAGAGAAGAATAGTGGTTTATATTAAAACTAGTAGCCCGGTGCACAAAATTCATGCACATTAAAAGGGAATTAATTGCCCTAACTGGTTTGGCTCAGTGGATAGAGCATCAGCCTGTGGACTCAAGGGTCCCAGGTTCGATTCCGGTCAAGGGCATGTACCTTGGTTGCAGGCACATCCCCAGTGGGGAGTGTGCAGGAGGCAGCTGATCGATGTTTCTCTCTCATCGATGTTTCTAACTCTCTATCCCTTTCCCTTCCTCTCTGTAAAAAATCAATAAAATATATTTTTTTTTAAAAAGGGAATTAATTAGCAGAGATATTTTAATATTGCTATTTGCCCTTTCTCTATAATAGAAGTGTGAGAGATGAAAGGAAATTAGTAAAATGTATATGGAAATAATATATAAATTTATTAATAAATAAACAGTAACAAATAGATATAACAACAACAGAGGCATGATATAAAAACAACAAAAACATGATATAAAAACAGGTGGCCTTCCACACACTTCCCCTTTATCAGAATGTCCTCCTTACAACTTTCTAACCAAGTCTCTTGTGCTCCCCAACACTTAAATCCATAGCAAGCTAGAACATGCAAATCAACTTTTATATGCTTCTAAATTCTATAAGTATTTAAGGTAAATTTATGTGTTCATGCTTGTTTAATTTAAAAAATAACAAGCCCTGGCTGGTTTGGTTCAGTGGATGGAGCGTCGGCATGCAGACTGAAGGTTCCCAGGTTCGATTCCGGTCAAGGGTGTGTACCTTAGTTGCGGTCACATCCCCAGTGGGAGGTGTGCAGGAGGCAGCTGATCGATTTTTCTCTCTCATCGATGTTTCTAACTCTCTATCCCTCTCCTTTCCTCTCAGTAAAAAATCAATAAAATATATTAAAAATAAAAATAAAAAATAACAAGTCATGCACAAATGATCAAGTTATATGATCAAATTTATTGCATAATTTCCTAGCTCTTCACTTTTACATCACTTTTTCACAGACTTTGTTACAAGATCAAAAATAATACACACTTCCAAATGTGTAAAAATAATTGGAATGAATAAGTATGATCTGTATAAATTTATTTCTTCTTTGATTTTTAAAACATATTTATATACTAATTAGAATTCAGGGCCAACATAACTCATTACATTTCAGTATACTCACACACATGAATAATTAGTTTGAATAATTTCATTGTAAAGAAACTTGTGAATTCTTAGTAAATATGATGGTTCTGGCACACAGCTTTAAAGTCATTCTTAAAACTTGAATATTCTTGGCACATGAAGAACTACACTAGAATATCCAGAACATGGGTATTCTGTAAGGAAAAGATCATCTTCTGAAAGTGAAAACAGAAAGCAATGAAATTATAACACCAAAAGCTGAAGAAACAGCTTACAAATGTACTGTTGGAAAACTTGGAAGATGACCAATCCCCATGTCAAGAACATGGCTCAAATGTCACTGATGTAAAATGAAATGGCACTGTAACTTGCCTGGCACATTGAAATGGTGCTTATGGAATTCGTCACTGTTTTCTAATACTATCCAAGAAGAGGGTGCATTGATTCTAGAAGACAAACAACCCTAACCTTGACAGAAATGTCCCCAGAATTTTAAAAAAGTGAATTTTTAAGACTTAGATGGCTTAATGGAAGTATTTTTTTAAAATATATTTTATTGATTTTTTACAGAGGGAAGGGAGAGGAATAGAGAGTTAGAAACATCGATGAGAGAGAAACATCGATCAGCTGCCTTCTGCACACTCCCTACTGGGGATGTGCCCGCAACCAAGGTACATGCCCTTGACCGGAATCGAACCTGGGACCCTTGAGTCCGCAGGCTGATGCTCAATCCACTGAGCCAAACCAGTCAGGGCAATGGAAGTATTTTTTAAGAGACTCTAACAATCAATGTCTTATTCTGTATCCGGCAAACAAATTATTAACATGCAAACTGGTTTTCAGAGAGAACCTGCTGTACAGGTAACAGGATCCCATTGTCAAGTCAGGTTTATTTCACATTGCAATTACTTGAATTTTCCATCGAAGAGACCAATGTATTGCTTGTCAGTTTAGTTAGTGTTTCTCAGTCCTCTATAGTTCGATCACCTTCGAGCCACTTGATGAAATTCTTTCTGAACCAGTATCTAAGGGGCATGCAGTGCACATGCACAACTCAAGAATTCTAATTTCAGAGTAGACCACAAAGATTCCTCCCTGCATGAGGAGCCCCTCAGCCTCATGAAAAAATGCGGGAAAGCTTTTTGGGATTGATGGTATGACTAACACCCTGGACAAAGATGGGGTCCAAAATGTTCCCTTGCCTCTCATTACCAGGTATTTTAGGAGAACAGAAAACTCACCACTAGGAAAGCAAGAGATATGTAGTCCAGGCCAAGATAAACAGGTGGTTTCTTCTGGGACCTACAGCCAAGTTCCATGGCATATGGACTGTGGTTAGACTTCTTTGGGAGGAAAATGTTCTCTCACCCTGTTGTCAGAGAGAAAAACAAGAGGAATAATGGTTAAATGAAGAAAAGAAAAGAAACTTCTTTTTCTTTTATTGGTATTATTATCCAATATCTGAGAACTACACCCATTGGGTCTGCCAGCTTATATGGCCACAGACAAAAGCTGATAAAATGAGGGAAAAAGTAGTAGAGACAGGAGTCAGAGACCTCTTTTTTGGAAAAGGAAAGAGATACTGTGATAACTGGGAAGGTTTTTGTTTTGTTTTATTTTTTCTTTCAAATGAGAGAGGTTCAAATATGTTTATATGCCAAGGAGAAGTCAAGAGAAAGGGGGTGTCTGAAGGTTCAGAAGAGAGAAGGTGTGATGACTAATGAACAGGACCTAAGGAGAGAGGTGGGGAAGGGGAGGGGAGGATGTGGGATGGATCCAGAGTACAGGTGAGAGAGATTTACCAGGCTCTTTCCTTGAGTCTGAAGAAAAAGAGAAAACATGCGTGGGTGTCTACATATGTCAGGGTAAACCTGGTCATGCTGTGGTAACAGCCTCCAGAATCTTCATGGCTAACAAGAAAGGCTTATTTCATACGCTACATGGCCAGGGCAAGTTGGCTCTGATTGGGTCCACATTTCAGGATTTAGGCATGTGGATCAGGCCCTCACTGGAATACTGCCATCTTTGGTGGCAGAAAGAAAAGAGAGAATGGCAAATCATGCATGAGTGCTGAAAGCTTCTGCTGGGAGGTGATGCACAACACATCACATCAGTTCACATTTCATGGCTAAAGCAACTCCCGTGATCATGCCTGAGTTCAATAGAACAGGCACATAGGAGAGGAATGAGGAATATGGGTGAGCAATACAATAGAGAGGGGCTTTGAATATGGGCAAACAACGCAATCTATCACAAGGCCCATCCTGCTTTTGTTGGTGATAGAAGTTGCTCCTTCATTCATTCAATAAATATTTATTAAGCACTCCTGCTTGCCTTAATCCCAGCCTCTAACAATCATTGATCTGCTTTCATTGTAGAACTTCTAGAATTTTAAAAATGAAATCATACAGTATGTAGCCTTTCATGTTTAACTTCTTCAAGAAAACTAATCTTATGTTGAGGCTATGAAAACAACTTACAGGTTAAAAAAGGCAAGGAAAGTAGTAAGGCTCACCAGTCTGAGTGCCCACCTACTTTGGCTTCATCCTAAATACCAATTCCCAGGAAAAATTGAGTCTTATGTGCTGGTTATATTTTTCTAGAACTCATTAAAATAATTATTAATGTTAAAAATGTTAATTTGAGCACATCTCAGATAAGCAAGCCTCACTTAGGAAAACACTTCATTAAAAGATCTTGACAACCTTTTTTACTTCTAACACTCTCATTCTCTCAATCATTAATTTTGGCCATTGAGTCTTAAATAAAGTGGCCATTAGCAAAATGTATAAGTAATTATAACTCCCAAATCTCCACATATAGCATCATAACATGCAAGTCCACATTTACCTTACTTTTAAAGATAAATTCAAACCTTTTTCTTTTTGCTTTCTACCTTTATTTCCCATTTTATTTGGTTGGGATAAGAAAAATTTGTTTGGATATAATGAAAACCAAAAACACAACTAATAAAGGTGAGAAGATTGAGACTTGCCATGCAGCATACATAGATTGGGAAGACTTCTTGCAGAATATGAGATTTGAAGAAGGTTCTAGAACTGGAACTTTGCTAGCCAGGGCTTATGTACTCTAATGTAATTGGGAGAACTCTACAGGAAAAGTTCTATGGTTTGTAACTCCCCCTTTCCTTAACTTCCTTTTCCCCCTTATATAAATACTCCTCTATCTTGGCACATAGGCCAGAATGTACATGTAGCTTGCTATGTCTGCTTGTACTGGGTTGCAACCCCTTTCTTTTTCCCAAATAAATCCTTTTTGGTGATGAAACACCTGGTTGATATTAATATTCAGTTGAAAACAGGAACATTTTGCAACGTAATGCCTGTAGACGACCCATGTAGGTGCAGTAATTCTTCCTACATGTGGATTACTGTATCCGTTTCCATTAAACCACTTTCTTTCCCAGTTACTCTGACACTTCCATACTTTTAGGGTAAGAGTCATCAGTTTTCTGTGTGTCTCTGTGATTGTAGAGGACCCAGCAGCCTGAGTTATTAAAGAGTGCTTCAGAGATGGTTAGCAGATAATCGGATCTATGAAAACCCTTTCTGTAGATGAGGCCTTTTCTTTAGCAAATTAGAACTCTAATGGAGGTTTGAATAAGAAAAAGGCCTAACCAATTAAAAAGTTCCTTTGTTATTGTTTGTCTTTGTGGTCATTGTTGCTGCTTGGTAAGGCTAGAGGAAGTTTTGAAGGTTGATGGATAGGAACAGCGTCATGTGGGTGAGCCCCACATCTATTTCTCCAGTGTTTTTTTACTGAGATGAAATCAGGTCAGGTTGGAATTCTGAGGCAATTTAGAAATACAAAAGTGTACCAAAGGCTGTCTGGAAAGGTATGTAGGAACAGGAATGGTGTAGTAACACCCACTTGGCTTGATCAAATGGACGTGTCCAGGCACTCTGTGGGATATAAACACGGAGCTGGATGCCCAATCCACCCTGCTTAGATTAATCCAGGGCTTTGAATAAAGGGGCGGGTCCATTTGAGTCTTTGTACTTGTCGGGTTTGGTCATGTTGTAAGGACCTATGAGAAACAGTTTCTCAGACTTTCTTACATGCTACTAGGTATGCTAGCTGTTATTCTTTTTTAAATGTTTTAATTGATTTCAGAGAGAGGAAGAGGGGGAGAGATAGAAACATCCATGAGAGAAAACATCAATCAGCTGCCTCCTGCACCTCCCCCCACCCCCCAGATTGAGCTCCCAACCAGGAATCAAACTGTGACCTCCTACTAGTTCATAGATCAATGCTTAACCAATGAGCCACACTGGCCAGGTTAAACTGTCTTTCAAGGAAGGCCATTTCAAAATGAAATCGTGACTTTGTATATGGTGATAATTTCATAGTTCTAGTTCTAAACCCCAATTAATTCAAAATTGGTCCTGCTTATGCCCGTAGTTTCATATAGACCAGTGGTTCTCAACCTTCTGGCCCTTCAAATACAGTTCCTCATGTTGTGACCCAACCATAACATTATTTTCGTTGCTACTTCATAACTGTAATGTTGCTACTGTTATGAATCGTCATGTAAATATTTGATATGCAGGATGATCTTAGGCGACCCCTGTGAAAGGGTCATTTGACCGCCAAAGGGGTCGCGACCCACAGGTTGAGAACCGCTGATATAGAGTGTGCCTAATTCTATCATAGTCAAATGGTGATTTCTATTGGTAACATGACTACATTTTCCTCTGGAGATTGCTGTGAGAGTTTAAGTCACTAATATGTGAACAGGTCTATGACTGTCCCTACATTTAACATGTCAGTGTAATAACATTTTTACCTGTACTGATATTAAACTTTCTCACCTTAAAACTTCAAATTCAATTCAAATACTGCAAGATCGAAGTTTATTTTGCTTTTTTAAAACAAAAATGGTACCATAAACAAAGCCCACTTTGTAATTAGAATCCTTTCCCCCTTGTATAAGGCAGCATAGAAAAATGGTGAGTTATACAAACATGGATTCCAAGAAGCTAAGCAAAAATAATTTTTCACTTAAGTAAAGTAGGCTATGAAAATTTTAAATGAATAAAGAAAAAAAGCACCAAACTGAAAGGGACAAAAAGGATCATTTTCCTTCTCTGAACTGCACTGCTTGAACTAAATTAACAAAATCTCCCAAAATAAAAATATTTAAGTAATTTATTTGCATGTTTTTAAAAGTACTTTTCCCCAGTAAATACCGGGTCAACAAAAACAAAAAACAACAACTGCTTCTTTGTTTTATTTTAAACCTTGTTGCTGAAAATAATTCTAAGTGTATCGGTATTATTTACTACTTTAGTGAGTGTCTAGCGATATCCCACCCCTTCTGTGAATTTTGACTATGGAATCTACCTATAGATGGAGGCAAATGTCAAGAATCTGCAGGGACTCCAGAACACAGCTGGACCACAGTCACTTTTGACTGAAGAGGTCTCCGTTTTCTTGTGATGAATCTCTCTCAAGTCACACTCCCCTTCACCCATAAAATAAGACTTCCGCCAACTTGAAGGACAGTCTATAAAGTCCCTGTATCCCTTTCCATTAAACCACCTTCTTCCCAGCTACTTGTGTCTTGTAAAACCTAAACCTTAAATTAAAATTAAAAAAAAGCAGGAATTGACTGCGTGGACAAAGGGAATCGTAGTTTTACGCAAAAATGCAACCCCATACGAGCACTGAGCAAATGGATGGTTGCATCTGAAGTCATCCGACTGGTCACTTGCGTCTTCATGTGGAGGTTTCCCAAGAGTTAACGATCCTAACCATGAGAAGTGAGTGTCGCACCGTCCAAGACTCGGCCCGTTGCCCTTTACTTCTAGGCAACATTTGTTTCAATTAGGTCGTGTCTCCTCATTATCCGTGAGGACGGAATTCATCCCCTGCCCTTCGGTGCAGGCGATTTTTTCCGGGAAAATTAAAACATCCCTCCTGGGATCAAATAGCCAACCGTAGAGTGGAGGAAGGCGGGGCCCACGTGTCCCATCAGAGGGCCCTCAGACCCGCTCCTCACCGCAGGCCTGCAGCTGCCAGAGCGAGGGTTCGGGGTCAGGAGACCAGGGGGATGGCGGCCACAGGCTCGGTCCTCCCGCCACGCCGGGGACAACACAACGGGAGTAACCGCGGGACGGAGCGACAGGCAGTGGCGCGACTGCAGGACTCAGAACACGGGCCGGGACTGGGCAAGACAGGAAGGGGTCCGCGAGGCTGGCACACCGGGACTGCAGGAGCGGCGAGGCTACCCACGGCGCCCTCCGGTCCCGCC